TACTCGTCTCACGTATTGTCGGAGGATACGGTACATCGAGAAATTAAAGATGGCAAATTTTTGAGCAAGAGGATATTTTGCAAAACCGCCGCCGCCTCTTTACCCGATGTATTGAAGAAGCTGGTGAAAAAACCTCAGGTATTCTCACGGAATCCTTCTCTTATCTTTCAGAGCCCTAAGTCCTGTCAGGGAGAGCTTGTTACAGTTTGTGCTACGAATTAACAGGTATTAATACTCGAGGAGGCAATTATCGACTTGTGCGCGAAACGTTTAATCTCGTTGACGAAGAATCTCGAGCATAAGAAGCTGGTGATTGCTTCAGAGACGACCGAGTATATACCTAGCTACTTCGATCCGAATAAAACTGTAATGACGCGACGTACGACCATTCGATCGCCTCTGCAAGGTATCACGGGTCGAGTAATCGAGAGGATCTGCCACGTACGCGCAGTCAGAAACGCTAAAAAAGCGGTAAAGGTATGTAAGAGTCAACGAACCTGGTACATCGTCAATATCGAGTCTTATGAAAACGCATAATCGCACTTTTAGGGATTCTTATACGTTCTCAGTAAAGACGATGGAAGAGCCAAGCGAAGCCAAGACGTCGCCTTCAGTTAATTTCATCATATGGCTTTACGTGATTTATGCCGCATTACATTTGTTGGTGTTTTTGTTTGATTATTTTTTATGGAAGATTAAATTCCAAGTCGAGTGCATTCTGTTGTGCTGAGATACATATTTGTATTTAAGTTTTACCTTTTGTGAATTATTGATTATATTTTATAAAAGAAATTCATGTACGATTGCTAATCGTTTTCTTGTACGAATAAAATGTAAGAAAACAAACTTGAGATGATTTTATATGTGCTTGCGGCTACATTCGTTCCGAAAGTGAAATTTCTTGTCTGGTAGCCGAGTCGAATATATCCGATGAACGGAATGGAAGCGGATATAAACGTAAAGCTCTCTCCAGACCGGAACGTCCCAGTCGGTTGACATCGAAAGAATGTCTATGCACTTCCTTCCACCCTAGACAAGAAATTGTATTTCCACATACGTCGAAACACATCTGATTTACGATCATATCGAGGAAAATATTCTGTATGCGATGTACGAAATAAAAGCAATCTCATCATTAATTTTTACTCATATTTTCCCTAATTCACTTCTTATATTTATTACATCAACTGCTGATTTGTTAATCTTCTGAAATCAATAGATTCTTATAGAACTTGTCTTTAGTTTTGATTCTCATGCTTTCTGCCAGATGATGAACATGGCAGATCATTTGCACGATTACAAAACATACTTGTACAAGAGATTACTACACAGTGCATAAATGTAGTAATGCATTGACATCATTTTTGCATTAAAATGTACAAAACGTTATAAAATGACAATAATCAATAACGAACGCACGGGAAACATACGTATTTTATAAAACAAACGTACCGAAAATGGATATTGAAAAGAAGCCACGTAACCAGAATTTAAATAACAATTTCGCATTAGCCCTTTAATACGAAATCTCATTCCCGGTATGCGTGGTCACCGTCGAGCAACATATTTCAGTGTCCAACGCAGCCCCAAAAAACCATTATTTCGCTCATCCGTCCACCCCTCGTCATTCGTCCTCTATAACCGATGTAGCCGTGTTGTGTGGACTGCCACCGATGTCCTATATTACGCATCCCACCCACGCTTCCAACCTCGTATGAGCATTCATGCGTAGCAGTAACGTATGGCACGAAGAAACCACCTCCGCATCAACGCTGGAAGCTTTCCCGTAGTTACAATAAAATTTCACGGCTAAGCTGACTCTTATTAGATCCAGGAGAAGTGCCCCTTCGTCTTATTTTCGACGTAAATCCTTGGCAACACCCCTCGGTCCTTCTGCCTATACGGCAAACATCGCGACGCGTTCTGCTTATACTGATTGAAATCGAACGCCGGTGGAACTTGAATTTGGATTAAAGTTTGCCGCAAGCTCTCTCAGAGACATATTCCTCTTTCCTTAAAATTCTTAATACATCACCAGTAAATAATATAGATAAACGATTCTTCTTTTGATCAGCCGAATTTTGGTTTTATCATCTCGGTTACTCACGATATATATGTAAAATAATAATAAATAAAAATTATATATAATATATATATGTACATGTATAATAATAAATAATATATATAATCTATTTTTCATTTTTAGATCGAAGAATACTTTGAGAAAACATAATAAATTTTATGACAGAAATAACGTACAGAGAGTTCTATAGATTCAGTAATCGTCAGAGAACAGAGAAGTTATCATCTCCAGATTCATTATTTCGTATAAACAAAATTCAAAATTTGGAGTAAGATTAATATACGACCGAGTGTTATCCTCGGACAAGAGAATTTCGTTCGATAGGAAAACACGGCACCGCACCGGCGAGAAATAATAGAAGGGTCAGCTGCGCGGGGCGGATGTCATTACCAGTCGCGGTGCATAAAAAGCTGTCTCTCGTACAACAACGTGCTGCAATTAGCACAGCATCGTACAGTACATTCCCTGTGTCATCACAACGGTACAACATCCGATACGTCTCTTCTACTTGCTACTCGCGCTCAAAAAATTTTGTTCCATTTTTATTGTCACAACTGCATGGACACATTATCGGCCCAACAGTTCGGAAACATCCATGATTAATGTATACGTACAACGTAACTCATTGGATTCTGGCCCAACATACACATGTGGCAATACACGTCACTAGGTGAAAACCTGTCTGTGCGAAAACTTCATACGTATGCTGGACCAAAATCCATTAAACTAGGTGTACAATTTATTACTAAACACTTAATTGGAGTTTCCTAAGGTTTAGCTTTAAAATTCGTATAAATAATGCCAAGGATTAAGAAACAACGACCAAGTTGAAGACACAAGAAGGATAAATTACAATTATAATTTGACTTCTAAATAAGATTGACAAATTTTAGATTAACATTCCTTTTTATGAACGGTAATGGTACTTATGCGATAGAGACATAACATCTCTCTCGAATTGATCGATTTCAACCTAGTATCATATATAAAACAAGGAGGTTTGAAAAACGACCTAAACCCATAGCTTCAAAAAATCCTACGTTTCATGAATCGTGAATGATACGTCAAAACAAGATTTATATTGCTAATAAAATGTTCGACTCTTCTAATGCATTAGGAATGTACTTGCACACATTCTCTACCCTTCCGACTCTAAAAAACAAAAAAAAAAAGATAAAAACCGAACGTTCTTCTCGTTGATGGATACTAAAAGGCACTCAGCGGAACGAAAGTTTCATAGGTTTCTCTTTTTTTCCTTTTCAATTCGTGTTGCTACAGTAGGCAAAAGACGTGACCACAGGAACATGATAGTCTTAATGAGCTCTCTCGCTAACGAGGAACGAGTTTGTTCAAGTGAACACCCATCCCTCATCCTCGAAACGAGCGTACTACATTCATTACAAAGCACAGCTTTCCTATAATTCAGCGATAACGTAATCACCGGTCGACATACAATATATTATCATAATCAGTTCGATTCGAATCAATGTGTAACTATTAATAAAATATTATCTTATGCAAGAGCTACTCAACAGTCTATTCCGAGTTTTACCCTACCATGTGCCACAACATTTGCACACGACACAGCATACTCTATTATTTGTAAATGCGCAGGCTAATAAACAGATGAATATTCATTGACTAAACTGCAAGTTTTGTTTCGAATTCTGGATTGGATCTCCATGCGAACAAACATGCGTTACATTTGCCTAAATTTTCAAAATGTTTTTAGACATATTGTACGTGTTTAGGCAAAAGGTTTTCATCCAAGTATTATATGCAATACAATGTGCAAAGTAATACAGAAATTATTATAAGAACAGTAAAAGGTGAAGTAGTCCGTGATATTTTAATAATTTCTGACTATCGATATGTTAACAATTTTCTATTATCTTCACTCATTGTGCGTAGTGCAAATATTATAAATCAAGAAAAATTTATTTATGCCTAATTTAGAAAATCAGACTAGTAACGTTTTATATTTAATCACGGTAAGGGACAAATCACTGAGAGTGACATGGTGTGGGAAAGACAGCACGAATTTACTCACTCCGTGCATTCCTTGGGGAAACATAAAAATAGACCGTCTAAATTTTTCCTGTAATCGATCGGGCAGACAGAATCTATCCTGTCTTATGTATCCAAAGAATATATAACTTATTCTAACGACTCTTTCAAATCACATCACATCTTCTCATACTGATACCAAGATGAAGATGTAAAATGTGAAGAAATAGTAATATTATTCCAGAGCAGAAGGTGATCATTAATTCGCTTGAATTTTCGTCAAACAAATCTAATTTCATCTAGAAGTAACATTGCTCTAATGGAGATTGTAAACAATGGAAAAGGAAGTGTTTGAAGTAGAAAATGAAGGAGAACGTAGAACAACAAAACCTCGGCTATCTTCAACGACCACCAATGTTCTACCACGACTACATTAGAAGGCTTATCCGCTCATTATGCGACCCAACGATCACGCGCTTATACTACAAACCCTCGACCTTCCATTAAGCTCTCCCGCTTTTCGATCAACAACCTCATGTCTCTCCTTCTCGAAATCCGCGATTAACCCAACGTGATTCTGAATTGCACGCCTTGCAGCAAAATTTTAATTCGCAGCGTTAACAGCTTCCGACTCAGTAAGCTTGGATCTGTTTAATTCCACTATTCTCTTCAGTTATTTCTCGCATTCGTACCCACTCGATTCATAATTATATAAAATAACATTTAATATTGTATGAGTATTATTGAATTTATAATACCTAATAATATATATAAAAATATCCATTCATTTATAAAAGACAGTCGTATTTAAGCATAGAAACAGATAATAAATAATACGTTAAATAATGTAGTCATCAACTGTAGAGTAATAAAAAAACGAGGCAAACTT